AGAGCCCGCTGGAGCAGTGAAGAGTGCTCCAGGAGCAGTCAAGATATCCAACCGTGCAACTGGCGTTCTCTAGCGGGTAGAGTGACGTCCTAGTTACACCGGGCGCTATTATTTAGTGTCGGGGCCCGTTGTGCGGACTAGTGTGCGCTGGGGCGGAATAATGTGCGCCAGACCTCGCCAGGAGCACTGGCGGTATCTCTGGAGAGGTAGTTTACCTACCGAGCGCCCTGAGCGCCCTGAGCGCCCCGGGCGTCTGGCGAAGGCTACAGGTTTGCTGATGTTCCAGTTCATGAGATATTCCTAACCATCTTGAATTTCAAGTCCAGCACTACCTATCACTTCAAGCGCTCTGCTATCTAAGTTTTCAAGATTACCTCTTGAAAGTGCATTCAAGTCTCGTTTCAAGTTCAAGCTTTCAAGTTTCATTTCAAGTTCAAGCTTTCAAGCTATACACTTTGCAATCATATATAAGATGGTCTATCTTCCTTAACCCGATTGCTTTCTGAACCATATTCATCACACATTTACAATAGACTCTAAACTCCTCTCAGAGCACTCCCAAGCGCTAACAGAATATCGAAAAACCTCACAAAAGTCGAAAGAGACGCCATCGAGATCAAGATTCAGACAAATCCAGTACTGATAATAGTGGCAGTAGTAGCAGCAGTAGCAGCAGTAGCAGTAGTAGCTACAAATGCTCCCGCCGAAAACACAAGAAGTATAGATCTTCCCGTTCCTTACGTCGAAAGTCGCGGAAAACTCTAAAAGCTATCCCGGAAGAGATAGCAGAGACATCCTCGGAGTACTCGCCAGTGCTTTCAAGTCCCCCACAGCTCACACCACCTCCCCCGCAACTCCCGCCACCTCCCCAGCAGCTCCCACCACCGTCCTCACAGCGCCCCGCAGTGCCTTCAGTAGAGCATCAAGTACCTCCTCTGTGGCCCCCACCACCTCCCCCTCAGCACTCGCAAGCACCTTCTAGCGTTGCACCCCTCAGCCAGAGCCCTAAAAATGCTGAAGGACTCTTCCCAAAGCAGTGGATATCATTGCAATCTGATTCTGACTCCAACGGCGAAAGCTCAGCAGTAGGCCCAGCAACACACTCAGCAAAACGCCAAGCAGCAGGCCCAGCAGCACGCCCAGCAGCATGCTCAGCAGCACGCCCAGCAGCACGCCTAGCAGCACGCTCAGCACCACGCCCAGCAGCAAGCCCAGCAGCAAGCCCGGCAGCAAGCCCCGCACCCCGAAGAAGAAGAAGACGGGCACTTTTACGAGTCCCCAGTGATACTCCAGAACTCGGCAGCTCACCACCACCACCACCAGCCCCTGTCCATAGAGCCGTGCTTCCAGTTCGTTCCACTGCTCCAGCAGCAACCGTCAGTGCTTCACAGAGAGCACCAAAGACACCAACCCGACCCCCTCGCCGGCTACCAATACAGAGTTCAGTTGCTGGCCCCTCCAGAGCATTAGACACTCCTTCACCGGTAGAGCAGAGATGAGGCAGCAGAGCCCGTGCCCCAGAAACACCCCCGAGTGCTCAGGTAGCATACACGAGTGCTCCGGAAGCATCTCCCACGGCTCAAGGTCAATTCAGAATGACTCAGACGAATAAAGCAAAAATGACTTTAGGTTTGCTCAACCTACCTAAAGTGTACACTAACATCCGCAACAGCCTCAAAGCGCAGATGCAGAACGTCGGTTGGGTTAATAAAAGCGTTTCCGGGGCAGCCGCGTTCGATGCTCTATGCCTGTATTTGATGAACTTACGCTCCCTACGCGCTTTCCTACCTATTTGGACAGGAGTCGATTCCGAAGCCCGTGGAGCACTCGCGGATGCTTTGAAGTGGCTGATTGGTGATGATGAACAGAAGGAAAAGCTATCGAGAGGGCAGGGAAATCGCGAGTACAGAGAAGTTGCCGGTGATAGTGATGATGTTTACGACGGTGGACAGCCCGCCCAACGCTCTAGGAAGTGTAAACGGGATCCAGTGTTCGCAGATCTCGATAGACCTTCCATAATGTCACGGTGGTAGACTCCGATGCTCTAGGAGCATTCTTCAACGTTGTTCCGCCTCCTACCTATGACTGGAACGATCCACAAAATGAGCCTTCGTTCATTGGAATTCTGAAAAAGATAACGTTTCCAGAGCTCTGCAATTTGATCTTGAAGCACACTGCACCCGGCAGAGCAATCAGGAGTATCTGGGGAGCACTGGATAACGTTTCAGCGGCATCCAATCCACCTGTTCGGCCAATGGAGGTCCAAATCAGTGATTCGGAAGAGGTCGAAGGTTGGTTGAAGAATAGCGTTGGCAGGCCTAGGAGAATACTGGCGGTGCTCCACAGAGCAGGCGCGGGTGCTAATTTGGGTGGCGCTGAATCACCCCCGCTGAACCGGGCATTCCCTCATATCGAAGAAGACGATTATACCATGATCGATATTCCTGCAGAGGACTCTGATTACGAGGAGGGAAGCCACCACATCAATGCTAAAAGACTGAGGGTATATTTACCCAGAATTGATGCCAGTAATCAAAGGCTAATCCAGACTCTTGTTAGACGTCGCGATAGACAGCAGGATGCTATCGACGACTTAGACCTCAAATACCTGAGGAAATATCCTTTGGGTGTTGGGGTTGCTGACCCAAATTTTGTACAGGGAGTAATCTGAACGCCTGCCAGGATAGCAGCCAAGAGAGCTGCTGATGCACTCGCGGCTGCTGGTGGTGGAGGCTGTGATGGAGGCGGTGGTGGAGGCGGTGGTGGTGGTGGAGGCAGTGGTGGTGGTGGAGGCAGTGGTGGTGGTAATCCTCCTCCGGGCGGACCTCTGGGCGGTGGTGGTGGTGATGGTGGTGGCAGCAGTGGTGGTGATGGCGGGCATCATTAGTTTTCCTTGCTTTAATCTCGTGTCTGTCTTTCTGCTCAACGAATGCTTACCTCTGGATAGGGGTGTGTATTGTTTTCTGAGCACTTGCGAGTGCTATTGGCATCATTACTGTTCTTTGGTATAATCTCTCGTCTCTCTTTCTACTCAACGATCGCTTACCTCTGAATAGCGGTATGTATTGTTTTCTGAGCACTGGCCAGTGCTCCTGGGATTTATTTCGGTGCTATTTGATGTCTAGATCTCTTTATATGAACAGATGAGTTTCATCGTTTTATATTTTCTTATATTAGATTAGATTAGATTAGATTAGATATGATTACGTTCTTCCATTTCTTTTTAATTGAATTGCAATCGGCTCAAACTTCTATATTGCTCTCAGAGCACTCATTATCGCTTTAGAAAGTGCAGTAAAACGAGTGATTAGAAATGACTCGGATGCGGGTGAGCGGACCGGGATGCGGTGGAGCGGGCCGATACCATAGGAGGTTAGCGGTGAAAATTCTTCTCGCTTGGCGACGAAAACTCTGTCGCCAAGAGTTGATTTGTAATCAAAACATGCAGAAGAATGCTCCTAGAGCACATTGGATACTCCTGCCAGCAAGCAGAATGCCTCTCAACAAGCGATACGCAGGTTCTACACCTCTTTCCACAAAGCGACCACGACTCCCAGTACCACCCGAAGAGCATGATGATTCACAGACTGACGGGTCTGGAATACCATTCCGAGGATTGACCGCACTGTCAACTAACACTCGGAGTAGTCAATCGACCAGCACTCGGAGCAGTCAGTCGACCACTGCCCCAAAAGCGTGTAAAGGGCTTCTCCGTTGTACCGACACATCGACTGGAAGAAGAAGCCCTAGAAGGGTAGAATTCCATCTCCCCGATGGCAATACTGACAGCGTTGAAGTGCAAGAGGTAGAGGAAACCACTGATACCAGCCACTCGGAGTATGACGCCTCCCCAGAGAACGCCTAGGACAGCTCTGAAGAGAATCCGAATGACATGGAAGAAGAATCTCAAGATTCCACCCAGCAGAGATCCCAGAGTACGGGGAAGAGGCCTTGTACAGTACAGCCGACTACTGCCAGAGCACTGGGCAATGCTCGGAGGAGACCAACCGGAGCAGTAGCGGATGTTATTGCTTCCCCTGACGTGTCGGTGAATGTGGTACAGGTTCGACTCCATCCCACCCATTAATGTTAAGGTCAAGATGCTAACGTTTCAGAGGGGAGCACGTTCGGGTGCAAAGGTAGTACGGAGAGCAGCTCCCACTTCGGCAGCCAGAGAGAATGCATCCCTGTGGGTGCCCACTGCATCCCACAGACCCACTCCGGTACCCAGCCAGGAGGCATCTCAAGGAGCATTCCCAGCATCTCAGAGAGCACCTCCGATATCCTCACAGTCCATGCCTTCTTCTGTACCTGTTTATTCGCTCGATATTGACTATAGCTCTTCTACACGGCACATCAATCTTTCCTCGATTCGTTCGAGGTACGGCGACTCCTCACCCATTTACCGCCCTTATCGTTCCTCCCCGCCTCTTGAGGGTGTTGGCGAGAGCTCTATGAGCAGTCCCCGGATTCCCTCAAGGTCTCAGGTATATTTACCAGGAGCGCAGCCAAGAGTCTACGATATTGCACAGCTTTCGTCGTCAATTAGGGAAGGAAATGCTTCTATAGCAGAAAGCGAGGTTAGTAGTATTCCCGATAGCACTGACAACCGCTTTGAGAGCAAAGTTAACGTTCATGCGAGCAACCTATCTCAGAGATCCCTATTACCTAACTGGAGGAGTGCAAACGTTCTCTCAATGCAAGCCCAAAGGATTGAGAAGGAGTGCAGCACGCTAATCAGGGACCACACTCTTCTACACGATCCTTTTCCACCTGCAGCGAGGCTTTCGGCCCTGGTAGTAAACATGTGGGCAGCTGCCAGTCGCAGGGTGGGATGTACGGTAGATCTCGACGAGGTTGTTATCAAACAGTTGAATGCTATTGAAACGTTGACGAGTGCTCTGGAAGCATAATTGACAACGATAGGTCAGAAGTCTACACTCCCAAGTGCGTTCGCACTTGATGCATGAGGTTAAAGGGCGCCTGGTGGATTCGACCATCTATGGGCTTGGAAAGCTCTCGAGTCCTGAGGCGAAGGCTGCTCAAGTAGAGTATCTTTTCAAGAATGATCGCTTCTTGAGTCCTGCGCAGCATTATGAGGTATGATCAATCCCCAGAGAGCATCCGGGGGTGCTAATAGAGCACTCCGGTGTTAATGCTCGGAGAGTACCCGGACACACGGAATGCTTGAAGAGCACTCGCGAACGCTGCTAACAGATACTAGACCTACCGTCTACGGTTTCTTGCACCAGAGATTATCGACATATTGTACTATAAATACTTTGATGGGGTCAGGATGCGAGGGGTAAAAGACCCCGAGTTCCTTGAGCAGATTACCCCTACCATTATTTGCCTGATATCGACTGCTCTTTGGCATCGCATTCGGGCATAGTCAGCCGGAACATACGTGAAGCCTGACCATTTCCAGTCACACAATGAGAGTGTTGTTAGTAAGCATCCCCGATCCTCTCACATCCCCTTACAGGTATAGCGAGTGCTTTGAGAGCAGTGATGGGTGCTCCCAGGACTATAGTGTATCTCCACGCTGACATTGAATACGAGTAGAAACGTTCAACAGGATGAGCAACATATTCAAGGGGAGGAGTAGGCAGAACCAGGAGGCAACGTTGGAGGTGATCAAGGATAACCTGCGGGAAACGGTGTGCTATAAGGATGGATGCTACAATGGTGTGGTGCTTTTCTAAATACGGAGGCTAACCTTGATAGATACGAGAGAAGAAGGGCATCACTATCGAGGTGATACCCGAAGATGGATTCAGTGAGGACGATGAAGAGTTAGCGGCGGATCTTGCAACATTCCGGAAGGCACGAAGACCACCCCCGAGTGCTCTAGGGTATATCTCTGGTTCCGACAACGGTAACGGGCAGGAAGAGGTGGTTTACGCTCAACTTCGGGGCATTGAAGCGGAAGATGAAGGTGAGGGGAGGGATGAAGAGAAGGATCGCGAGGAAGGCGAGGTGGAAAATGATCTATAGCGCACCGGCGAATGCTTCGAGGAGATACCTATATACCTGTATTATATCCGATTGGCGATTTCTGGGCGATTGTAGTGTTAGTATTTAGTAATAGAATTACGGTTCTGGATGCTCTGCAAAGCAGTGCCTACTAAAGCAAACAGTAATATGCCTGAAGAAACAGTGCGCTGAAAGGTAAAATTCGGTGCGTCGGGCGTCGCGGGAGCAGTCGGGAGTGCTCCAGAAACATTAGCGATATGCCCAGGAGTCGTCAGAGAGCTCCAAAAGCGCCCAGGAGATAGGTAGTAGTCTCAGGCGAGAGAGCATTCCGTCGCGTGAGCGTCAGGCGAGAGAGCATTCCGTCAGGAGAGAGTCACGCAAGAGAGCCTTTAGTAGGGATAGCGTCAGGCGAGAGAGCATTCTGTCGGGATAGCGTCAGGATGAAAAGCATTCCGTCGCGAGAGCGTCCGGGAAGGAGTACACTTTCTGGATAACGTCAGGCACGAGCTCACCCCGTCAGGGTGAGCGTATTGCTCTCGGGACGCACTAGCTGCACTGGTGCGCACCTGTGCGTGCAGGGTAAATTAGTGCTTCCCAAAGCGGAACGCTATGCGCCAGAAAATGCCAAGAACGTTCCTTCCTTGTCTGGAGAGGCAGTTTGTCTACCCAGCGCCCAGGGCGCCTGGAGCGTCTCAGAGCGTCTGACGGAGGTTACGGGTTTGCTGTTGAACCTGAACAAGGACGCTGGACTTGTATAAAGAATTCGGTGTTGCCAAAGGTTGGCCTCTCATCATCATCAGCAGATCTTAACTAGCAAGAAGACCCCTTAAACTTATTAAATTCCTAAACTTGAAAACAATCTCAAACAGACTCTACTTTTATTATGGGAAGAGTTCTATCATAACTCGTTCGTTCTATCTACAGTACAATGCCAGTCGTGAGGGTCAGGCGCGGCGTCACAACACCGCGCGCGCAACCAGATTTCCACAACCTTTTCACGGCGGGTTGGTACACAAGATATTAAATGTCAAATCATTGTTATTTATCTACTATTTAACAACTATACAAAAATTCAGCTCTCTAAAGGATCAATTGTGGTTCCTGTGCTGGTACCCATGATTGTTCTGGGGGCGTTGCGATGCTGCGCCTGACCCTGATGGCTGGCATCGTACTGTATCTATCTACCTGATCGAAGTCATGCTCATGCCCCATTATAGCACCCTTATTATACCACCGCCCTGCTACACTTCCTATACACACAGATCTCCACTCCTCATATGGACCTATCTCACCGTCCCTTGCTGCCTCTAATTACTCTGTTATGGAACCACCCCTCACGCAACATCACCATGTCTATTGCCCCACGCCTACCTGGCCCCACGCCTACCTGGCCCCACGCCTACCTGGCCAATCAGTATTCGCATAACCCACAGGCCCCCTTCCCTCTACAGCCTAACAAGTATATCAGCTTTCTTCAAGCTCCCTTCAATCAATTCAAAGCTTCACCTACATCCACTATAGAAGTCTGGTGTACGAGTATCCTTCTCCACACTTGTGGAGATCACGGAAAAACCTAGTGCTACTACTTATTCTCCTCATTAGATGTCAGTCTCCCGACTTGAGCAAGAGGTCCACAACGCAACCATGGTTCTCTAGGAAGAGATAACATAAGCTACGGTATGAATGAACAGCCTCCTTAATCATTCCTCCCCTTACTCACGCCCAAGCATCTCCTTCTATCCTTCCCTCCTCTTGTCGCTGTCTCGCCTTCCCCTTTCGCTGATCGTCACGTCTGACCTTCCTCTTGGATGAACTGGCAAGCTCAACAGCCATAATCATGAACTCTCAGCTACCATCCACTTGCTCTCGTAAAATCCTTATTAACTGCACTGATTATGATGCAAGCTAACTCTTCGATATTAACAGCTGTCATTCTTACACTTGCTAATACTTCATGCCAGAGGAAGCTCTCATATCTTGATGCGCTATCACCACCTCAGCCTCTAGTACTGAGACAGATTACATATCTTTTTTGACACCAATTGACAACCGATTTGGTTAAAGTATGTAACTTACGGTTTGGAACGAAAATCAAATTTCTCTTTTATTCTTTAAGGTGACAATAATGGATCTCTCTCTTTGATTAAACATCCTGTCTTTCATCAAAGGTTTAAACATATTATTGTTTATATTCATTTCACATATGAACAGTTTGAGGAACATTTATTTTCTTTGGAATACATTTCCACGAATGCAAAATGGCAGATTTACTTTCAAAGAAACTGGATAAAGTCAAAAATGTTTTATTTTCTTCCACTATCATCATTCACTGTGATGCATGAGTTAAAGTCTTGAACTATGATGCTTAGCGAATTTCATAGTATTGCCGCTGGATTATTCAAATTATTTCATTAAAGTATTTGTTATCCGATTTGGCATATGACCTTTTCATAATTTACGTTCCTATTAGTCATTCTATTACTTATACTTCTACAACTCATTTTATTTCTTTTGTAATACCTCTCCATATCATGAAAATGAAGCATTCCCCCTTAACTAACACAATCAATACACTCAATCATTTCACTTCTCGATAACTTTTCTCTAACTTGCAATTGACCGAGTTTTCAATTCTACAATCAAGTAAAATCTTATGAGTAACGTTGGCGAGATTTCGGCAGTGTGTGACCCATTTAGAAATTGAAATGCGAGCAAAACAGTATGAGAATTGTAGGCCTCTGAGTCATCCATCCAGTATGTTGTTATACACAAATACTAGTAGGGTATTTTGTTTCCAGATGCCCATGTCTCAAGCGTGAGATCGTAACGACTACCGGTAGATGCACGACAATGTAATTGTTTCTTGAGGACTGGAAACAATTCTTCGTGGATATTTTGAATATCATCTGCAGCCACTGCCATTTGATGAGAAAATACAGGAATTGGTAGATTACAATATTTCAGTATGTTGTTGAGAGCTTTTGATTCCACTATACGGAAAGTGGAGTTGGTATCGACTATACAAGCTGCAAGGAATTTCCGGAATTGTTGTTCTATAAGTGGTTCACCAGGTGATCGGGTTCCGTTGGCTTTGAGTGCAAAAGTCCATAGATTACTGCAGATTTGGGGTGTCTTTTTGTGTTGATTTAGAATTCTCTCTTCCTCCTCAAAAGAAGTAGCCAGAGCCGGATGATGCTTCTGAAAATGCCGTAGATAATGACTGGAGGTTTTATAGCTGAACGTATATGGGCCCCAAGATAGCTTACTGACAGGACAATGACTGTATCAGACCTCATAATGTGTATGGAGAGGGATGGACTGCGCCGGATTTTGATTGGGTCTGAGGCGGATCGACTATTGCTTGCAATCATAGGTACTTTATCTTTGACTAACTGATGTCGTTGATATAGATATGATGAAGATATAGTTGGGATCATAGTGAGCTCGGTCTTGTACTCCTCTGTGAACTCTGAGTAACCAATAAGAGAGAGCAGGCCAGTTACTATAAGCCTTACCCCATCTACCCGCCAGCTTCTTCAACAATAGTTGCTTGTCATCTGTATCCTCCATGCCGGGTATGAATACTAATACTAATAGTTATTTAGAAAGTAATCAACTCTGATATTCGAAGATTTTTAAGTAGACAGGAGGAATAGTTCGTACTGATCACTCTATTTTATCTGGCCCCGCGCAGGCTCCATTTAGTTGAGGGGTTGAACACGGTGCTCGGATGTCTTTGATTGCTTTTCCGGTCATGGTATATCACTCGGCTTTCCTTAATAATTCGAGCCTAAGCTCGAGCCGGCTCAGGCTCGTCCAAAGTAAAGGCTCGTCAGGCTCGAGCTGGTCCGGCTCATCGACCACACTATAGGCAATCCTGCTGAAACACTAATTAAAGATACCTCAACGAGTATCTCGAGTTACCTAATGTGGTAGTCTTGTTTGACTTTCCAAGAAGCGTTCTATATATTGTATTACCCCGCCGGGCCTAATAGTACAAGAGACTCTAGACCCGAATCAGTCATGGATCTAGTGTAGCTCCTTAGCGTAATCTAATCTATTTAATAAGAAATAAGAGATAAGAGAATAAACGCAACATCTCCATGCGGCTAGTCTTGCGACCACATTCGGACTGACCGCGCGATCTTGCCTGCTACCATGGCCAGTCCTACACCACCCCACTCCACTTTCTTCTTTTCATGGTAACTAACTGAATCAGCATTCGAACTTGATGAAAAAAATACCGCTACCATTGCCATAAGCTACGGCTTGTATGCAATTAATGAATTAAACACAAAAAAAATACCACTACCACGTGTTTCGAGCGATATTCCATGAATAAACCTAAAGGATCCGTTAGATATGGGTGCGAATTCGTTAAGATAGGCGATGTTGACCAGACAGAGGCTGTTAAAGTACTTTTTTGCGGAGGTAATGTATCAAGCGGAACGGTTTCCTATGAAAGGAAAAAAAGAAGGAGCTAGGGCAGAGAACCATACGAGATCGGAGAGATCGAGAGCAAAGAGACTTTTTATATCGCTGACCGGATTCTGGAGCTACATGATAGGATTAGTATCCGCGATCGCTATGAGGGGAAAAACGCAGCAGGAAAGCAGAAGACATGAAATCAAAGGAGCGGGATGGTTTTTAAGAAGGCACAAATTATTCTTAGATAGCCATTTTTCTTTGTTGAGATGGCGGTGGATGTGGAGGCAGTCTGTGGAGAAACCGTTCGATATTTCCATAATCGTATGGTTGCATGCAATGAATGAATTAAACAAATTAAAACAAAAGGCGCAACAGTTTACCTTTGGTTTCTATTGTGGGGTCGATTGTGGAGTAGCGCTCGATGGGGATGCTAGGACAGTTATTTCCCCGCACGCGAATAAATAAGGTGCAAGAGCACTACTAAGGGGCTGGGTGGATGAAGGATGCTTCATACCTTGACTTGACACCTTACGAGAGAATCTGTCCACAGTTACCAATCAAGAGACTGACCTAGATATCTTCCTGCGTACCCGAGTGTACGTTGAAAGGTGTGTATTTAATTTTTTGACGCACGCAATTCATTAGAATAATACACGCAGTCAAATCAAGCAACCAGTCGCACGTAATGTTTCAATATTTTGATTTGGTCATTTGCCCCGGAATATCCCCCAACAGGGTTGAGAAGTGACTTCGGTCTTGTGTAGCCAGCAATTGGTTGGAACTACATGGTATGGGAGGGGCTTATATTTGTCCTTTGTTGTAATGGTTGAACCCGTCTGCGTGACATGAATATCGACACAGGATATCACGCGGAGGTCATGCCGGTTTCCTCATTACCAGCTTTAATCCTCTGCCTGCGATGGTACATTTGGCCCGATTGTACGGCAAGTATATCAGTCCAACCTCAAGCAAGTTGAAGGAATGGCTGGTCGATCGATGAATATGTCAAATTGACACAGAATGCTACGAGTAAGGGAAGACGCGCTGATCGTATATACCGGGAATGATCCGGTAAATGCATAATTTAACCACCGCGTACCGGGGGTTATGTGTTAGTCTGAAGAACCCTTTTTGGCGTATGATTGGTTGAAGCTGCAGAAAATGCCAGTGATACTTGGCGCCAGAAAAAGTACTTGAATAGGCGGCCCCCATCTTTTACAACGCAACATCCGAGACCGCAATTTGACTGCTGTTTATACCCAGTTTCATCAGAAAATACTCCCCACAAGGGCTTATGAGCTCAAAATACTATCTAGGGGAAGCTGGGAGCCAGTGCTATTCTGCAGCTATTTCTTTGTATTTTTAGCAAAATATTTTGATTTTTGAGTGAAGATATATGAAAGTTCTTCAAACTTTTTTCCCCCATACAAATTTAGTGCGCTAAGGCCAGACCTGGCCGGTGTGATCGATGATAATTGGTGGCTCCCATATAAAATCCCTGCATTTTCAACCAATGAAGCAGAGTTCTTCAGACTAAGGGTGAACACCCGGCACAGAGTAGTACCAGCTTTATTAAGTGTATAATTATCTAAATAGCTGTGCGATTACCGAAATCTGGAGCATGCCTGCTTGTACACCCGACGCATTTGAGCTGTCCCCAAGTATATAAGTGTAGGGCAAAAACGACAATGTCCGACACATTGTCTCTAGACACGCAACCAAATGTAGTCGCACGTAGTAACCGAACGATCGTACTAATTAACACCATTACTGCCACCATTAGAGACATATCTTTCGGAATTAACTTGCTTGATAGGGTTAGGGTTATTCTAAGGTATGGATTCGTGATTGATGCAAGGAATCTTTCAATCGTGAGATAAATTTACAAGAGATGGGGAAAAGAAAATTTACAATGCGCTCCCTAATTCGGGTAGATAATTGATTCGTTTATTGACTCGACTTTGTTGGGCTAGTATGGAGTGAAGGCGCGCTGTTATTGCGCGGGGCGATGCATTGATCCGAAAAGGCAACCATCCTCCGCCCGGATATCGAATGCTATGACACGCTCTACTCTAGGTACTCTACAGTTTCGATTAGATAATCTACGACGCGGAAGCTCTCAGCCTCATGTATCCACCCCGCCTATTTATCTATATTCGTCAACCCATACGCCACCTCAGCTGTAGTAGTAACGCGTGGGTAGGAATGAGCCTCGGGAACTGTGGGATCGTGGGGGTGGCGGTACTATGGCGGCACCTTAAGTGGCCTCCCTTCCATTAAATCCGAAGAGACCTTTCAGTAGTTGTATCGCTGTTTCGGCTCGGTACGGGTTTTATACAGGGAGACCCATCTAGCATTCGATTGACCAAACAGCACTCACGCAGCCCTAACTCTTGATAAAACTGAAGTTCTCAATGATGATATTTTTCAGTTTGTAAGGCCAGTGATTATGTATAATATCTATTGCCTAATGAACCACAGTTTTTCTAACAATTATCTTGATACCCATAGGTGTTGACGGGATGACTTAGCAGCGCTTCTTTCTTTTTCCCGCCGGCTAGTCCACCCCTACGACTCTACTCTACCCGTAGCTTTATAGCGTTTCCGAACACGACCAATATTGCATGACATACGAAAAAGCGCCAAATCCACCTTTTTGTATGCCATGCAATATTGGTCGTGTTCGGAAACGCTATAAAGCTACGAGTAGTCAACGATGCAGTATAACAGTTCTAAATCGGGCTGCATGACCTTGTTGTCTTTGCTAGTCACAATGTGGCGTGCTAGTAAATAGTCTAGGTACAAGGCTCTGGCATTAAGTGAGTGAACTAAATGGGGTGTTGGCTGTTGACGATCCGTTCACTCACTTAATCCCAGAGCCTTGTACTTGGGGCAGGGATAAAGTATTGGACAATGCAGGTTTTTGGTTCACCAATTGGTTCACCAATGGGTGCGCGTGCTAGGCGTGAACTGCAAAAAAAGCCCAGGGAAAAAACATGCTTGTCCGGTACTCCGCGCCCGCCCGAGCACGAAGCAACGCAACGTGGAGAAAAGTGTAATGTTATCTCAATCAGGAGCTGTCCATGACTATATATTGAACACTCAGAAGTAGAATTTTAATACGGTAAAAATATTAGTTCACCGGCCATGTGATGTTAAATACATTTTAATTTACGATTAACGGATATCAAACAAAAGAACAAAAGAAACTAATATAGGTACAGTGTGATGTCAGAAGTGAGGGTCAGGCGCGGCGTCGCAACGCCGCAACCCGCCCACGAACCACCATCACGAGTACCACCACACCAACCCCAATTGATCCTTTGGAGAGCTGGTTATTTGTATAGTTGTTAAATAGTAGAATATAAAAATAATTTGACAGTCAATATCTTGTGTACCAACCCTTGCGACATCGTCTCCATCGGTGGGGTTGTGGGGGATTTGGTTGTGCGCGCGTTGCACCGTTGCGCCTGACCCTCACTTCTGACATCACACTGTATATGTGACAAGAAGTATACGGATGACATGAGCATGTACCAAATATATATATATAACAAGAAATATACCCAGTCCATTAGCTGTCACAAAGTCTTCAACCTTCCAAAGTGCTTATTATACCCAGTAACGCCAAAATACCTGTCCATCATGTAAATGTCAGTCAATATATCATACAGAACACCGGGAATCTATCTACCTCCGCTTGCAGTCAAGATATAACTGGCTATTGCCATGGCGGTCTGCACATCGCCAGTAAGCCCACTCCACAAGACCGCTGTGATTACACTGCCGATCCATGGTACCGCTGCCAACAGCACTATCTTACGGCCATTCCAGCCCTGTACAAACTCTAGCCCATAACGGTGCGGCGGCAATGATTTGATATTGAATACCCAATCAACCCAATCCCCAGTCGTAGATAACTTATGAGGTTTCTTGAATGCGTAAAGGATCGAGTTTCGCGAGGCCGTATCGAGCAGCAACAGAGCTGGGGATTCAGGTTGTGTATACTAGTAGCTGTGAGCAAGAGATAATCCATCACATCCGAATCAACCTCGACCTACATACCTCCACAACTCCGATATACTTAAGTCCTTTGAGGGAGAACAATCGCTGCCAAAACGATCGCAATTCAACGTTGTATGTTCGCTGGAACTCCTGAAATAGTTCCTTATCGGTGGTGGTTCCCCCCTGGGGATCTCGGCGAAAAACCGCTACACGATAGTTCTTGGCAGTGCGCATCTGGGCGGAGGAATGGATACAGAGCAGGATGGAGCACGCAGTCAATGTACTAAGCGGTGTGCGACGACTATCTTCCACCTTCCCGATCCTGGGCGGAAATATAACCCCTCCAGCTAATTTAATGTCGTCTACGCTATTAATCGATAGTGAATCGGTCAGAGTAGGAGGGAGGACCTCAGTAGGTGCGGTCGCTGTCGCAATATCATAACCGCCCACCGGTGATGGTGTCGGGGAGGATCTTGGGAAGTGTAGGTGAGAATTAGGTACACGGGGAAATTTTCCCTTATCGGTCGGGGGGGGTGAGGGAGGTGCCCATACGCGTCCGGAACCCATTACTCGAGAGGGTCGATATCGACAATGGATTTCTATAAGTTCTCCTGGAGGTTTGATCTACTGATGATAGACCTGGCTTGTCAAGATAGAACTTATATGGTGCTACCAAGTAAGGCTATCCAATTTACTTGTAAGAGGTTCTCCATTTAAGTGCGCAATCAATTTTGCCTAGTTACGCACTAGTGGGTGTGCTGGACGATGATGCATACTCTAGAGATCCAAGAGGTTTAACCATAGGGCAGCACAACCAATTAGAGGCTGCGTGGATGTATTCAACCAAAGTGACCCAGCCTTAAACTCTGCCTGGAATCCATTCCATACCCACACATCCCGTTGCATAGCCCCTTCACAGCCGAATGGTAGTTCCGAAATCAGAGAATGCCTTTCACTACCTGGGGCGAGCACGCAACCAGTACCTCCAGCATAAATAATATTTAAAATCATTAGGGGTCTAGACCGAGGATCTGTATCATTATCCCTTAGTCTGGCAATGCTGGCCCCCTATAATAGAGGAATTAAGTTTGATAAGAGAGATAACAGGATCTGTTAGTAAAGCTATACCGGGTGTTGAGGGTAAGTGATCAGAATCTGATAAGTGAATGCTGCGGTGAATACGTGTATTTTTCTTATCAGATTCTGATCACTTTTCGCTATACCCTAGTACAACTTGAAAATTTTGCTTTTTTTTGGGGGGGGGGGATTCAAGTTAGCATTTTTTGCCAGATAAAGGGATAACAAAGTATTATCATGGGAAGGGAAAAAGAAAGAGGTAAATAGCCATGGATTAGTATCCTTATCCTCTGTATGTATGAGATATTAGTAAAATCTCTCTCCTGCTGTAACGAGGATGCTATGATGGGGCATGACCATGATTTACGCTCAGATGAAAAATAGATAGAAGTATTTGAAACGAACTTGAGGGAGTTCACTTTAGAGAGTAGAGTTTGTATGGTAGAATATTTTGAATCTAAGAACTTAATAACTTTAAGCGGTTCTCTTGTTTTGTAAAGATCCTTTGATATCGAGAGGCCAACCTATGGCAACACCGAGTCTTTTATAGAAACCTGAAACACTTATTCAGGTTCTTTTTTTGAGTGGCAATCTACCAATCAATAATCGGGGGCAAAGCGACTATTTTCTATCAGAATGGAAGACCCCCTGTATTATAGTTAAACAAGAGCGAGGCAAAGGTGGCCACGGAATAGTAACGCCACCACTGGCTCCGAATTTACGTCGACATATATAGCTGTAAACGACTACTTTACACCCATCTGCTTTCACTCACAAGTTCCCATGGGTAGCGACATTTTGGCATGCCCCTCAGCCCTGTTAAATGCACGGTCTACGTGTAACTGATCATGATATCAACAAATTAAATTATGGGTGTTACCCAGGATAGACACAGAACGCCCAAGCATTACGAAAACAAAATAAAAACGAGAAAGTAGAAACTGGAAATCAGTCATCATCGCTAATATCACCGTCATCCAGCTCTATAGTCTCATCTTCCACAATTTCAGCATGTACTGGCGGTGGTTTTACTGCCTTACCCGACTCTTCATCGTCGTTTTGGTTGATCTATCAATTAAGTTAGCAGGTTGCCGGGCCCAGATATCATAAACAACGATGAACTCCACTTACGGTGCTAACAATTGCGCCCAATAGGAGCTTCGGTAACTACTATCTGTTAAAACAAGGGCGGCTTCAAGCTAGCGAGGAGAAATACTGACCACATCCCACTGCGATTCCTTATCGCTAAGTCTCTCTAATGCATACTCGGCTGAAGTAAGTGTTAATATATATCCAAGGTTAGGGAAAGTTCATTAGGACAAATACCTCGCAAACAGTCCACAGAATCACAAGACTCGTCGAGCTCAGCGAGAAGATCTGCGGCGCCCTTATCGTTCCCAACGCGTGAAAAGTGGAAGGCAACGGCTATCCCGAAACTGTCAGTATGACATGCATGAAGAGGGATAGGTTATTTACACACCGTCTTTTCCTGCACCCCCGTGTGCCTCTAACTTCTCTACACATTGGTCGATGACATTGCGAAGATGATTCTTTGATTCCCCTTCCGGCTATAAAGAAGGTAAAAGCGTTAGCGGAAGCCTGACTAATACTGGATTTGATTACCTACCCCTCCATCGGTAACAGTCATAATTAAGAGCGGCTTCTCCATCGGTGCGTTCGGATTAAAGACAAAGTTATCAAGCACCTTTTTCTGCAAGGCTGAGCCGATCTGCGTTGTTCCCCAGAAAGCATGCTTCTTCAGTACAGGTGAAACCCGCCGGTTATCGATATTCTTGTATCCCTTCATGCAATTGATGAACTTGACAGATACCAATCCTTGATTAGGCGCAGGTCGTGCCAGGTCATACACCATAGTGATCTTTTTCATTGTCTTTGAGAGTGTCTCTATGCGCTTTCCCCCTTCTTCATCGTTCATGGATGAGGAGTCATCTAGCACCAGGCGTAAGTATCGGTATTCCGAGGAATGGATTACTCATATCCTTTCATACCAATGAGCATTACCAGGTCGTAAAGACATAGTATGGAAAGCTGCTTTGACGTCTCTTTCCCGCATTTCTTTTCGCGGAGCTTATTTACCATGTCTGTGGCGTTAACAGAGAGTTTCTCTAATTTTTCCTTATCATAGAAGCTCCTGAGACCAGGCTTCTCATGGGCAATGAACTTATTGAAATTTTCCAAACATTCCTCAGCGGTGATAGTTTCAATATCATCGGGGTGAGGGGTAGCATTTGGCGTAGGTGGCCGACCATCTTTGACTCCGAACCCCCACTTGGTCTTAATACTTTCGAGCTGGGGATAGGTCTTTGTTTCGCCTGTCGCCTCCTCTTGAATGCCTGGCATCTTGGTGCCTTGCTGGTTTTAATAAAGAGGTTGATCAGTGCTCGGAGAGTCAGGTAGGTCTATATTCCTTATTTAGTGGGAGAGGGAAAAGGACATATATATAAACAAAACACGTAGTAACTGCGCGTGCAGACCGAGAAATAAAGCGGTGTCATTTAAGTGCCAATTAAATACACGAGAAATATCCGGGGGTGATAGTTTTTATCCTGCTACAGCCATCGTTTCAAACTTTGCTATAGTGGTTATGAGTAGGTCAATGAAAAGCGCTCGTATGTTGTGCGAGGTAATCTAGGGGAAACTTCATCCCTTAGACGTCATCTTCCTCTAAATTTGCGTTGAGTTACACACATAGTTGAGTTTCAATTATTTACAAGATAAGATAGGTTTTGAAATGCAGGCTCTGCTGTCCTTTATTCACGGGATTGACTAGAGATATGGAAACCTTGTCCGTCTACATTTCAACTCCAAAAATCACCATGGAGTCTCGGGAGGCTACAAAAGATTATCGAGACGATTTGTGAAGATTTCCATCACAGGGCCATGTCACGCGCCAATTCCCCTTTCAATTGATGCAGAAGAGGGTTGATCTCACCTTACATATCTCAAAGCCTATCGTTGTTGACTCACCTGGAGCGTTGTTCAGTGCCTTGAGCCTATCTCTGTTTCAGGTTCAAGACCAACCAATAGTAATATATAGTTAATGACTGCGCATGACATTGAATATGCACACTATTCTTATTTGGTCTTTGGTGATGTAGAAGTACTCGATCGTGATCGTCGGGACTACATTGATCAATCGAAGAATTTCTAATCGGCCTGCAGATCAGCCCCGCCTGCCGACACTACTCGTATTTCTCTGACATTTTTGAACTGGGCCATTATTGCATACACCCGAAATCATGAGCTTGGCGTATTTTTGTATGGCATCCAATATCAGTCGCGTCCACAAACGTCAGTGAAATACGAGTACACGGTGACGGTGACTTGATCACGGAGAAACAATTCGTTCCCGGATGTATGCATCATGGATGAAAAAGTCCTCTGCGAATCTCGATACTCTGCCCATTAAGAGTAGAGCTGGTCTATTTGGACGCTATCATTCGCAGAACTCGGTCAATTACGAACATGACAGAATTAGCAATGTCTTGGCCGCTTTAGCTCCGGGGCCAAGTACAAATGATAGAGGATTCAATAGTGAGATATATCTTTTAGTAGATTTGAATCGAATAATGAACGCATTTTTTCAACTAGTGCCAAACCCCAACTATCAGCCGCCGCAAACTATTAAGGTTATTGAGGAACTATATTTCTAGAGCAAATAGAGTTTAGCAGCGGTTAGGGTTAGGGTTAGTTACCTTATTGTCCTCATTCTTTTTCGGAATATGAGGTCTGACAAACAGTTCCTAATTTTAACATTTCTGGAGATGGGTATCCCAGCAAAGAGTCCAGAACAAAATATTATATCAGTTATCGATACAGGGGTTCTCTGTGTCTTCTGTCAAAAGAAACATTTGATCCCGTGGAGATGGACATCCTATTTAGACGCAGAGCTAGAGATGTATCTGATTCGGTGCAAACTCTTTTGCTTACTCGAGAAAAGGTTAATGTTTGTTTTGATGGCTCAAGCGGCGGTTATTGGGACACACATCTTATTTACTAATACGTTGTGATCTAGAAGAAACCAATCGGCAGAGAGGAACCGTGGTATTATATCCATGGTCTCAGGTCTTCTGAATCTAAGGTTCCTTGTGCGCCATGAGGCCGCAGTAAAGCCATGCTGCATAGAGGGGAAGATGATATTTGAGCTATCGTCCCGCAGATCATTCTCCACAAGATTTCATAGCTTGAGATTAGTGCTAATTCACACGCAAGGTGAGGTCAACATCCATGAGTACAGAGCCGTCCTATTGGATGATTAACATGCCTACATGTACCCCATGTAATCATTATCAAGGGCAAAAAATGCAACGCTTCTCAATCCTTTATATATTATTCAGAGATTGTATGCTGAAAGAATAGCATTCCTTTTATCGATCCTGTGTATACAGTAATGTACGTATAGTACCGTGACATAAGTCACCGACTTGAAGCAAAACTCACCAAAATTGGCCAAAATGGGCACTCCCGAACCCTCAATTCTGTATCAACTACCATAGAGCTTTCATTATAAGAATATAATTGTGAAAGAACATAGATTCTCAGCTGTAGCTCTTTTCATCAAATATGTGGAGAGTTATGGGGCAAATTTTGGGATTTGGTCGAATTTTGCCATGACTACTTACAAATTCGAGGTCTTGGCTCAGTTTCAGCAGGTATTAATGATCATCTACGAAGTACAGAAAACATTCGACATGTCTCCTTCAGCCACACACCCCCCGGCCAGATGTTCCACCTTATCCTGCGCCACGCGCCACGCGCCACAACGGTGACTGATGTCTAAAAACTATTGTCCGGCGAGTCGCTCTTCAGGCGACATTTCGTTCCGAGTCTCACGATCCACACCTTCCTTGGGGGCAGGCCACTAGGAATTGATATTTTAGAAATTCGTGGAAAATGGTCCGTAAGCGAGAAAAGGTTTACAATACCAACACCCGCTAAAAGAATACCTTTCTTTATAAATAATTATTGATACTATCATTCCAAATTTTATTGGGTCGAACAGTTCTTTGTCACTACAGCCTGCCAGTGGGGCAATGGCAAACCCACAAAAGCATGAACCTCTGATAGTTACATGTACAGTCGCACCTCGCTATGGAGGAACTCAATACGCCGGATCCCTTGCTATCCCGGATGGATTTGGTGGACACTTCTTTTTTTCACCCAAATAAATTAGCTATCCCGGATTTTGGCCAGTTCGTACCGGATGTGAATTTTCAGGAAAGTTTATGTTCTGTACTAGGGTGTAGCGAAAAGTGATCAGAATATGATAAGATAAGTGCATGTACTCACCGCAACATTCACTTCTCAGATTCTGATCACTTACCATCAACACCCGGTACATGAGTAGTTTTTGCTATCCCGGATTTAGTTGTAGGGTTGCCAGGGCATAGTTTTGGTCATTGCCAGGGTTAGGGTTGGCCTCCTGCTCAATATTTCGGGGGATACAATTTCCAACATAACTTCACATTTGACAAAGGTAGACATACAAGTGAGGGTTGCTTCTAGGTCTGTTTCTTGATGCGGTTCTAACCATACAGTGATATCCTACCCGTGATGGCTGGCTGTTGAATTCTAAGGGAAAATCATCAACAAAATCTCATATTTTGAGAATTTCCATATGTGTAAAGAACTATGGGCGGGGCATAGCTGTAGGGGTTGAGGGGCATCGGAAAGGTTCGCACTGAAGTGATAGCAGCGATGTACGGAAGGATACTAGGGGTGGCTCGCACGAGGTCGAGGATAGCGATTTAGGCAGCGAAGATCGTTATGACCACAGAGGAGGGGACGAGGGTAGCAAGGGCTACGATCAGGACAGCGAGGGTAAGGAACACCCAGAAGACAGCGATGACTATGGTGATAGTCATATTGGGACAGTAGATGTAAGGTGGCTTTAGTTAAAGTATGTATTGAAGTGAAGTAAATCTTTCAAAGTGATAACCCAAAGTAGATGGCAGTTATTGTTGTAGTTCCATATTTATATTCCCATATAATTAGAATTTGAGTTGGGTCGCCATTCATGTATCCATTATGGAGGAATGACTGTACTCCAATAGGGTTGAGATTCATATTCTGAACTTATAGGGCATCGTCTGCAAATGTACCATGATTTGCTGAATTATCAAAAAGAAATAGGAATCGATAACTGGGATAAATTTCTTCCGCAATTGGGATTGCAATTTTGGTCAAATGATTGACAAGATCCTTGCCTTCCCAATGGCCCTCCTCTTTCCCATATTCAAATGAAATACTAGCAAATTCCGGTAGTACAAGCTGTTCCCTCTCTTCCTGTTTTAAGGATTCGGATATTGTTGACAATCGATGGTTTGGGAGTAGAAAATCAGAAACCATTATTCCTTGACCTTTTCCTTTAGGATTAATAAATTGTCGGTCTTTGTAAAGCCATCCTTGTCGTCTGCTATCATGTGATTGAAATATAGACTCATCGTATGTAATAATGATTATGGGCCAGAAATTATTATTCTCGCTGCCAACAACACAGTTCTCTGAATAGGTTTTATCTTTCATTGACCCATTATCATTGAATTCAACCACATAGGGCTATAGTTCCTTCAACTGATTGACAAAATAATTGCGGTACTCAATTACATCCCCTCTCTCATGTCCATCAAAATGGACACCCTTTTTTATATTCCACCAATTAAATCCAAGCTGTTTCAACCATTTCTATGTGGTACGTACTACTATTCCCTTTCGTCGTTGTGTTTGCTCTTTAGTTCAAGTTTCATCGTCGTTAGTAATCATTCTGTCAAATACTTGTATAGCCTGAGTCTCAAGATTTGCTATATCATTTTGAAGATTCTCATTCGTATTTTGTTGATCTGAAATCGCGGTAACAGTAATGTTTATATTTTGGCAAACCATGACAGCTAGTTTGGGTGATGTGATACCTATTCACAATTAGAATAAATCTGATAATTAAATCCTGTTTTACTTACCATCATTCAAACTCATTGCATATTGTCTCATTGGATTAGCTGCAGTCCTTCATGATTTAACAATGATTCTGATATGTGATGTTTATTTCCACCAATTTTAGCTTGCGGGATCGCTCCATCTTGAATCCAAGAATTTTCCAATTTAATAATATTTCTGGCCATAAATTCACCGCGTCCAAAACAATTCGCTACATTCAAAGAGACGGTCCTTCTTGTCAAATCTGGAGATTTCTTTTGTGCAAGCAAAAAGGCATGAACCATTTGAGATCCTTTTAACAAATGATCACGTAGTCCTTCAGTATCAAATTTGACTTTCTGGTCGGTTTTTCAGCAGAGTAAAGTTTGAAAATTCTGAAGAGCAATGGCTCATTCGCCAATTCTTTT